GGAAGCGCATGGCAGTCCTAAAAACCCTTTTGCAGGCTCAAGTCCTCCTTGGCTGTCTGGTGATCGCAGTGCGCCCTCCAGCGATGCTAGGGCCATATGGGGATTAAATGGGGATACATGGGCATTGTACATGGATGTAAAGGGGTCATATAAATGTATGTTGCCCCCCCAAAAATGGAAAATTACGCGGCGGAAAAGAGAAGGGAAAATGAAAAGAACACTAGGATGGGTCAACTAGGACTGAGATAGGTACCTAAGGGCCCCACAAACGGACAGACCCCCAAGAAGGACTCGATACTCAATCCTGCATGACCCACTGGTCCTGCAGGATTTTCGTATCAACAATGGGGGTGTAGCTGGTGTGTTACCACATTGGCTTGCTGTTTCAACTTCTTATGTAGGAATTGTGCAGGAATGCAAGCGGTACATATAGAGAAGCTACAGGATCACGATCCCTTATCCATGTTCCTTCTGGTCGTACTTTGTTATTCCGTTGCTGCGGCCGAGATGTTGTGGAGTTGATAGCAATGGCGAGGGAGGGAGCGAGAGAGAACCATATGCATATATATAGTTATAGATATGTATGCATGTATATATATATATCTTCATATATATCTATACGTACATGAACGTTGATCCTGAATTCTGAGCTTGAGGAAGCAAGAGTCGCCGCGACAAGGATTTGAGAAAGCTCCAGTCACAACATCCGTTTATGAAATATTCCCAGTATAATATGACATACCGCAACGGCATATAGTCAAAGGTCGGGGGCTTTTGATATTACGGGGAGGGGTTTATTCCCTAAACCCTAAATCCTAAACCCCTAAACTCGATAAGGAGTGGGGATTATGGTGAGCTCTTGCCCAGTCGATCATGGCAGCTATTCCTGCCGGCGAGTACATCGAGCCAGGTGCTTAGAGACAGGTGGAGGTTTCCCAAAACTAGGGGTCCCCTTGAAGGGATACATAGGGGTTACATGTGGGTATGTAGGTTTTAGGGTTTCCCAAAATTAGGCTTATCTCTTGGGGGCCCCTATAATGAGGATTGTAGCATTTCAGAGTCTATATGTTTGGGAAACTACCAGGTGGTGCTTGTAGGATCCGCTGTTTGCCATGGTGGAAGATGGTAGTTTGGATGGGTAAGGTGATCTACCTGGGGAGCTTCGCAGAAATAGCAGTCAAACAATTTCTTTAATTGTTTCCGGTGGGGCACAGGGTTTTGTGATGCGTCTTCATTCGGCATGTGCAGCTTGAACTGCAAACGTAAGCAGTTCTCACGTGGGCTTTGGGATCATGGGCGAAAGATGCTGTTCAGGTCTACCTTCATGGATGAGTACTGGCGGCTTGGGCTTTGGCCTCAACATCTTTACCTGGCTAGAGCAAAGAGAACTTTCAAACAGGTGTGTTGCGAGTTGGGAATCAAATAGCTTGCCGGCCAATCCTTGAAGGTATGGGGCCGCCTACGAAGGTGTGAGTCCACTTGCGCCTGGTCCAAGACTCGCCATGCACGAGTGATAAAGCTGCCAGCACGATCGAACACAGCGTTATCTGCATTGCAGGCCACTCTTGTAGGACACAAATCAGACATATAGCAAGCAGACGAAATAGTAGTAGGGCCAAAAGACAGATCGGGGCCAAAAGGGAAACATATTCAGGGCCATGACTTGCTTAAAGAAGCCATTAGGAATGCATCTGACTGCTGTCCTACTGTGCAAGCTGGTCAGGTCAGTCATACCTGGACGCTTCATTCATGGCGTTCGACCGAACTGCATTCATCGATGCTGGGGACACAGTTTAGTGCAAGCAATGCATCTGAAGCACAGGGCAGCACGGGATCACGTCACTGTCTCAAGCTTCTTCCAAGGTCTCGAAGGGTCTTGGCTTCATGAAGGTGCCTGCACTTTTTTTTCGGAGGTAACGCACCAGCTGAATGGCAGGTGAGAGAGATTGCAATGAAAATATTTTGTTGCAGGGTGGGCACCTTTATTGCGTTGCTCCAGTCGTTAGCCACGGCCTCGTTTTGAGATGGGCTCATGCATCCGCTGGCACGGAACATCTTTGCAAAGCACCGTCGCCTGTTGATTCTGTTTGTTATCGGATTTGTGCAGTTGCCTGACAACTTGGCACCGACCCCTTCCTTGATGTGAGACGTGGCATGGCGGTCAGGTAGAACCACTCGGGCCTCCAATGCAAGCTTCTGGGTGACCGGGGTTGACTGCTGCGCACGGCGAGGCCTGGGGTGATTTGTCTTCGGTCCGCAGTAGTTGCTGGTTGCAGTCCACCACGGGATCCAGCACGGACTGGATCAGCCATCAAGCCGTGATGAGCTCAAAGCTTAAGATCCCATGATGGGCTTCGTTCCCGCTGTTGGGTTGACATGTGGTTGGGAGTTGCAATCCAAATCTGAGTGGTTTTTTTTTTTGGGGGGGGATACTACAGTATCCTATGTAGAGTAAGATTATGTCCTCCTTTGCGGTATAGTAGTTATATAACGAATATAATCTTCCTTGGGTCAACCACCGAAATCACACTACATACCTTGAGTTCAATGTGCCAGGCAGTTTCTCCTGCCTGGGCTCCCAGGACTGGCCAAGCAGGGCAACAGCTTTCAGGATTCTGCACATCAGCTTTCTTTTGTCCGACCCTTAAACCCTATATAGTAGTCCCTATAAAATCCATTGTAGTGGTTTCCATTTTCTTTCCCTTATCCCGAAATAATCCTTATATATACGAGGTGTGTAGTCAGGCTGGGCCGCTTCGTATGGGCAAGCTGTCTAGGTGCTTATGGGCTTCTAGCTTGTGGCCTGGACAGGAGAGTTTGCCAAAGGCTCGTAACATCAACGCTTGAGCGGGTTTGACGTTATTTGCACTGCGTGAATGGTTACAGTCCCCCTTGAGTAGGTAGAATATGGGGTAGACCGGGATCTTTTTATAAAATACTCCAAAGCCATATTCTATCTACTTATGGGGGACTATATGCTCGTGTATACAAAGTGTACGGAATAAGCCCCCCATGTATTCGAATGATTGGAGCTTGGCCATGCTGTAAGGGGAGTGCCAGGATGCTGCCCGGGGGTCTGGCATCGTCCTCTCCGACAGCCTGCTTCCTAGAAGTTAAAATTGTTAACACTTTCAATTATAAGAATTATTTATATTGTTGTTACTATTTATCTTATTGTTGTTATTAGTATTGCTACCATTACTACTGTCATAATTGGTTTTCTTATTAGTTTTGTTGTTGTTGTTGTTGTTGTTGTCAGTAGTGTTATGATTACTATGGCTATTGTAGGCGGCAAGGAGCTCCAAGGATCCTTGATCACCACGCTGGCAATCAGGGGGAGGTTGCTTGCTGGCAGCAGAATCGTCGTAGTTTCTGCCGCTTGCCCAGGTGATGGCATCTTCACGAAAGCCGCACGTGACCCAAGTCTATTCCGCTGGCCTGACGGCTTAGTATGGCTTACTGTTCAAGACATGGGCCCCCTTGCCTGTCTCCAAGATGTCTTAGTTTGAAAGCTTCATGGCGATCGTGGCTATCTGAATCATCTACATGTGATATGGCAACCTGTAGAGTGATCTTTTCGCCTGCATCCGCCTAACTGTGAAGTGCCTGCATGGAGATGATCTTGCATGTTTGTCCAGGTATGGCGCAGTCGGTGCATGGCTTTGACATTCTTCCCGAGTCGCAGATACTTCTGCTCGTATGGACCGTCATGTTCTTGTTGCCCTGTCTCTCTTTGCACTGGGTGAGATCCTTGACCCTTGGTGCAGGATGCGAGAGCCGACCCTGTATGCCGCAAGCTTGCAAGCAAGGCGGCATATCTTGGGAGGGGATAATGAGGAGAGAGGGGATGAAGCCTCCCTGTGGTGCCGCTGCAGTGCGATGACTTTCGTTGGAATCACCATCATTGCCTTCTTCCTGCTTGGTTTGTGTGGCAATCCCAGCAGGGTACTGTACACAGGTGTGCGGCAAAGGGTTCAGCCGTGCCAGCTGTCTTTCAAAAGTTTCTCCATCAAGATGACTGAGGCCTGGGGCACTGTGCAGTGCCCTAGCTGCATTTGCATAAGAAGTGGGTTGTTGGCAGCATGGTATTCTGCTGCAGGTGCAGAGCCTCCCCCAGCGGAAGTTCTGACGAGGTGTCGAAGTGAAACCTGCCCTGCAACTAGGTTCAGCTGCAGCTCAGATACAAGGCACAGCGCAGGAAGTCAGACCGGCGCTCCTCAACTTGTACCTCCACGAGCCCGTGGACCACGAACCATTCTCGCAGCCTTGAGCAGATGCAGACAGCGAGTCTGAGCGTGGACCACAAAAGGCACAGCTTGGGTGCCTCGATCGGCTGGCCTTGATGCTGCTCCATGTTTGCTTGTTGTGAAAATTTGTACCCGGTGCCCAGCAAGGTGCCTTCAAGCACTTCCCACCTTGTCATTCCGGCTCAGGTGGTTGGTTCTGTTGTTGGAGGGGCACTACATGAGGGTTTGGGTTTATTGCCTATTGGCGGGAACATCTTCCTCGCAGCCACAGACAACACAATTGCAGTCAACTACCATCTCGTCAAGGAGCCTTCGCAGACCCTGTCAGCACAACATTCACCCAGCCTTGAACCGCTTGCTTGGTAGGTAGGGCGTCTGGCCATCACATTTGGAAAGATGGCGTCCTCAGCTTTCGGATAGCTTGTGAGGACGGTCGTTGCTTTGCCAACCACGCGCCCTGACAATCTTCCATGAGCTGTGGGCAAGCAGATCCACCGAATCAGACAGAATTCGATTGTACAGTGCAGCAAGCCAACTCTGCTGATAGGACATCAGATTTTTGGGAAGGTTGCTCCCTCTAGGTATGGAAACTGCTGCCTTTCCTTCTAAAGTTTCTTTGGCACCTTGTTCCCTCCCTTTCTGGGCCAGTGGAGCAAGAAACAGGATGTCGGTCTCGGGTCGGCGGCGGCACTCCTTGAGCAGTAGGCAATGGGAAGCTGTTGTGTCCTCGTGGGAGTTAAGTTAGGACATATGGTTTATGTTTTGCGGATGTTGCGAAGTTACGAGTGCAGTTTTTGGGTCCTTGTATAGGTGAGAAGTAAGCAGATCATATTCAAGGGTAGTGTTTTTGCTCTTTGGGTGACCCACCATTTGGGTGCTGATGAGGCTAGGAATCAGCATGCTGTATTGGCTGTGTCGGGGTTCCGACAGCATGTACTCTCTGTGGGGCTGCTTGAGGTTGGACACCCACTTTAGGTGCTTCCCAGAGTATGTCACACAAAAGGGGTGGATGGTTTCAAGCCCTAGGTTCAGCATGTGAGGGACGCAGCAGTGCCATCGGACTGAGGGAGCTGTAAGGGATGAGGGCCAGGTTCAGGGTTCAGGGTTCAGGGTTCAGGCTTCAGCTCCGCACATAGAACCATGCCAAGGACGTGAACAACACACCCTCAGTTTAAATTGGCTGACAGATCAAAGAGCACCACACCTTGAATGCGAAACGATTGAAGCTCTCAACAACAAGCTCTTGGCAATGATGGATATACTAGCCACTTGGCATGTCTCTTACCAAGAGTATTTTCAGTGGCCGCAGAAAGCGGCGGTTGTGAGATGAAAGGTGCTCTTGCCAGATATTTCTTCAATTTTCTTCCCAGATAATCCGCAATCCCTAAGCCTAAGCGCTTAACAAGACTAGCTGTATCTACAAGTGCTCGCGTTATTGAGAGAGGCTCCTCCTGGTCGCAGCTGTACCTGGAGTTGACGCTTTTTCCTCTGCAGAATGCTGGGTCGACGCCTGAGGACAGTTCACAAACAGCAGCAGCACGATGATCGCAGCAGTAGCTGCAACAGCAGTGGTAATCATATTCGTAATTGTAGTTGAAGTCGTTGTCACAATTACAGCAGAAACAACCATCATGACCATTCGGCAGCGCAAAGCCTGGCATTCAGAACCACAATCAAATTATCTCTCACCTACATCGAGCTTGTATCCTGCTCGTGAAATGGAGCCGCAAGGCTGTTCCAAAATCACCTGCGCTGTTTTGGTCTGAGACTGTGCTACGGATCCGTTGCAATCCACACTCCAATCGAAGCAACATAGAGCACGCATATGTCATGTGATGTGCACCATCATGGACACCCACAAACAGAACAAGCAAACTTTGGGGAAATTCCTTCTTATGTTCTTGCAAGCTCGATTCTTGTATCAGGAATCCTGAGCCCTATAACATAGACCTTTCACCAACCGCAGGCCGTACATCGCAAGCCCCACACCCTAAATCCCCAAACCCGAAACCCCAAACCCAAAAGCTGTCTGAGGGGTTCCCTGCACTTGCTTCGAATGTTCTGTAGTATCATTTAGGCCATGTATGCAGGTACTGGGCCGTGTTCTAGTAACATTTCCGAGTGGATTGTCCTGAGGAGAAAAGGTCCCACAAAAAAACAAAAACTGTAAGAAGCCCTCACTCCAAAAAACCGCACCAACATCTTAACCCAAAGCTCCCAGACCCTAAAACCTTACAAGCACTGGAGGTTGGAGGTTGGACTCCTGAAATTTGCTGCAGCGCACCTGGGGCCAAGGGCAATCCTCTTTGCTGGGATTCAGCCAGCTTCCCAGCCTTAGCATTTGGGGTTTAGGGTTTA